CCGCACACGTGCCCAGCCTGAGTTTAAGCCACCAGGTCCAGGACGCGAACCGTGATTGACTACATGGGAGTCCAGCGACATAGCCATTACGCCAACTGCTGGTCTCTACTTTGGTTTTATTCTTCATACAGTTTAGTTTTACTTTGAGATTGCACTTATGTTTGACTATTTTTATACTCTTAGTGCTGTTTTTTTCTTAGACAAATGGTGTGTGTACTGGGACCCACAATATTTACATACTCTCTGCCACCAGGGCTAGGTTTCCTAATGTCACCTAGCATCTGTTTCCTGACAGTCCTTTCATGTTGTGTGTTTCCTTTAAGACAAATCCTCCATGTTATTTGAAGGCCAATCTTACTTTTAAGGTTATTCATGGTGTAACTTCCATTAATAAAGCGTTCAAAAGTTATAGGAGTGCTATACTTCACGAGGTATCCAAAAAGGTAATCCTGATTTTTATTTATTTTTTCAGGAAGTAAAGGATAGTTTCTTAAAAATACGGAATGCTTCATGAATTTGCATGCCATCTTGTGCAAGGGCCATGCTGATCTCTGTATTGTTACAATTTTAGTATATATGCTGCCGAAGTGAGCACCTGATTTATTTTGTAAATATTCCATCCATCTGAAATAATCTATCAAAATTTATTTCTCTGCTTGGAAAGCTTTAGCAATTTTCTTACTTCACTTACTGTCAGGCTGCTTTATCTGATTTTCTTAGTGTCTTAGTACATTCTGTCAATCAAGTGACCTTGCAGTTGCTCAGAATTGTTTTGCATTAACAGTGTCGTGAGCATCCAGAATCTCGAATAGCCAACCTTCACTGACTATTGTGCAAAAAGGGCAATTTCTATTTCTTCTGTTGACAATCTTCTTAGCTTTGTGAAGTTATTCAATTGCAGTGTGAATTTATGAACATTTTAAGCTTAACATAATTGATTACATTTGTTTTAAATAGATTCTGATGTAGAAATAAATTTATATTACCTGTATACAACGCTATAAAACTCACAAGTAATTACCTTTTTTGAAGGAAATTAAAAATTAATTATGTCAAAGTTTTTATCTTAGAATATAAAAATAAAAATCTTTTTATTTCCCTAAAAATGGTGAGGGCCATTATTCTACCACACAAAGTTTCATCTGAATGACTTGTAAGTCTTATATATGCAAAATATCTAAAATGAAAAACGTTCCCTTCTCAAACTGTCCCTTTTTGGTGTCTGGAGTCACTACCCTCTTGGTCTACCAAAAATCTTCTCCTCTTCCATCTCTTGTATACAACTGCTGCTACAACTGCCCTCTTACATGTCTCTGACCTTCTGTGACCCCAATCCTACTTTAGCTCTGGCTCCCTCATGTCTGGCTTGAATTACTCTGACAGTTGCCTAACTGCTTCCAATTTCCACCAGAATATTCTTTCTAAAATCTAAAACAGCCCATGATACTTCCTTTATCATCAACCTGCATAATAAGACTGAGATAGGATTAAGCTCTCTGGCTAGATATATTGGGTTAGGAGTCCACGGAATGGGGAATACAAGACAAGATGGAGTCACTATAGTCAAGCCTTTAGTAAAAATCATTTGCTGCTGTCGTGAAGAATCAATTATTAACTTTAACTGCTTGCTTACACAGAAAGCCTCTTGCAGCGCACTTGAGATAATGACAACTGAATTTTTCATATCATTACTACATTCCAAGCAAAGAGAGTACTCTCCTACTCTGGAGAGCAAGAGAGTAAAGAACCTTGAGCAATAGTTTGAAAAATAGGAACATGACATGCAGGCATGCACCTGCAAGATAAGGAAGGGATAAATGAGATTACATTTTGGAAGCACAAGGGAAAAATATTGGGTCATTTTTACATAGAAAAATACATCATTCATGACTTTTCCGATGACTCAATATATCAAAGAACAAAGCTTCATCTTAGGCTTGTAGAAAACATGATAAAAACTAGAAACTTTACAGGCCTCAGTTAATTAAGGTCTGAATGTCTAGTCTTATGTTTTTTGAGCCCACTCCCAAATAGAAGAATGATGTAAATCACCTGACATGTAGTCTCCATAAGGGAAATGCATGCACAAGTCCTTCCTTGCTGGGATAAAAATCCCTCACCCTACTTCTTCTTCAGCAACCCATTCTTGGAACCCTTCCCTGTTGGGAGGTCCATTTCTCTTCTCCGCTCTTAATAAACTTTGCTTTACTATCCCTTCTCTGTGTCCATGTCTCTAATTCTTCATGAGTGTGAGACAAAGAACCTGGTCATCTTGCAGTCCTGAATTCAGCACTGGTGTTGGACCTGCTAATTCACCCCAATTTCCTGCATCAATACCAAGTATAGAATAAAGTCTGAATTCCACGGGACCAGCAGTTAGCGTAATGGCTATGTCGCTTCTGTGGCTCTCAGGTCATGAGGTCACCACATCGTTTCTGTTCTGATTTGGGTGGTGTTGATCATGAGGATCTTGTTGTCTCTGCTTGTCTTTAAAAGTTCTGTACTTGAGGGACCAGCAGTTAGCATAATGGCTATGTCGCTGGACTCCCACGTAGTCGAGTGT